CGATTTTTCATCCAGGAGCAGGGATCGAATTATGGGGGAGCTGGATATCCTACACATCCAGGGAGAGCCGGGAAAAAAAACGTTTCTATCTATTTTACATCATTTATGGACTCTCAGCGTACCGGGTATTCTTTTGAGCGGAGAGCACAAAGAGCGGCACAGAGAGCTGATCGTTGGAGCGCTCCAGGCTGCTGCGTCCAGCGCACGGTCCATTCTCAAAGTGGCGCAACCCAAAAACTATAATTAACACACGATCGTTCATGTCCGCCCATGTTCTCTCCTTTCTGTCTTATTTGTGCCTGAAGCGCTCTGCTACTGCGGAGCTCATCACCTGTGCTGCGGTGATTTCACCTCACTGACGCAGCACCGAAACGCGCTCTCCGCTTTGCGGTCAGGAGATCCCTTTGATCTGCTCAGAAGTAACTGATGAGGTGAAAAAGTGAAAATCCAGGCAGCAGTTTTTCTGGAGAGTTTAGAGGAGATGCAGGAAGATGAGAGACAGACAGGACAGGAAATAGTTAAATAAAAACAAGAAAACAAAACTAAGTGTTGAAAAGTAAAATATAGGTAGATTTATCTCCACGACACGTTTTTACCTGTATAAAGCAATAAGTTACACACACGTAGTATTTATACATCTGATACAATTCAGATCACCGTCAAAACTCTGTCACACACCCAGGGCCGTTTCAAGGCATTTTGGGGGCCAAGGCAAAATAGAACCCCATCAATAATCTAAATGGTGAAGGAACAAGCAGAGGGCAAGATAAACCATAGCCTATAAAACACTAAATAACTAAACCTAGAAACTAAGGGCTAAGAACTAATGACTAGCGGGGTGAGGAGGACTAATGCAAACAAATAGGAACTACAAGGGAGTGACTAGGAGGAAACATGAGGGAAGCCAAGAGGGAGCTCCGGGTCACAATGATAGATGAAACCGAGCATCTTAAAAATAACTCTGAAGGAGTTTGCGTTAGCTTTGTTCTGCAGGTACTATCTTGTTGTTCTCAGCTTCGCAGGTGCGAAAAAGGTTTAAAAAGAGTTTGACGACGTGTCAAACTCCTTGCTGGTTAAAGAGGTGCTAAAGATGGCCGGTCTGAAGCTCGCTGCGGAACCCTCGAACTGTTGAACTGTTCCAACTCTACCGAGGGAAAAACCAGCACAACTAGTTTTAATTAGGGATGCTCCGATCAGGTTTTAATCTGCCGATCACCGATACGATCAGCCAGGAGGCCGATCATGGCCGATCAGCTGATTACCGATACCAATTACATAGATTGGCTGTAAATTGTTCATTTAGCTATGGTGAGTTCTAATGCATGTGTTACATATTAATTCAGAAAAAAACATGGTTTTACTTCACTTCAAATTATGTAATGTTAGTAACAATTTATAAGAAATTAAAAACATTAAGGCTCTCTTTAGGCTACAAATAGTGCAAAAAAAGTCAGTATCTCACATCACCGCCTAAATCAAATTAAGTAACCAAGGATACATTCAGATACATCCAGTGAGCTGTTAAGCTCAGCATTGACACAGAACTGACATCTGAGCTCCAAATGTCACTTGTGAAACTCACAGAGGATGAGACGCTTTCTTTAAGGAGTCCCTCGATGAAATAATACACTGTCTGGTGGAGCTCTGGAAGGGCTACGTCGGCGAAATATTTACGTCCCTGTAGCATGTAGCGAGGTTCCAAGTGGGTTAGTAGTTGGCGGAATCTGGCGTCTTCCACAACTGAAAAAGGCTGGTCGTCAAGTCCAATAAACTCGATGATTTTACGGGTAATTTGCTTAGCCTTTTGACTGTCACGCTCAAATGGGCGAGTGTTTGCAAGCGTCGGCTGCGTTAGCTGCCGTCTGACTGTGGCTGCATTAGCAGGCTTCTTTTCATTGTCTGCGGTGAGCCTCAAAAACTCACCGTGCTCCGCCAAGTGTTTAGTCTTTAAATGTCGGATCAAATTCGTTGTGTTGAAATTTTTTGAAGTGCTTCCTCCGCGGGGTATGTTTTCGTTGCAAGTGTTGCAAGACGCAAACTTAATATCACTCTCGCACACCGTAAAGAAGTTCCACACGGCAGACATGTTTGTCTTTGCAGGTTTGCCGCCACGCGCATGCGCACTAAGCGGGGAGAAGCGGAAGGGTGAACTACCGGCCGGGAAGAGTAAGCGCCAGTGCCAGATCGGAAATGAAAGGCAGTGATCGGCGATCACAGATCACACACTTTTGCAGGAAAATCGGCCGATAATTATCTGTGGCCGATCAATCGGAGCACCCCTAGTTTTAATAGATTGATGTTATGGATTTGGCCAGCCAGTCAGGGGCTGACACGTTTGAGAGATGTTACCAAGAATCTCAGATCTGGACACTCTGAATCCGGGTAAAAGGTTAACAATGTGTCATGCATTAACTTAACCTTACTCTGTCTTGTATGAGTGCAAATGATGATGACCTCATCCGATAAACATGCTAAGCATATATCATTAAGCACATATCAATGAACATTTCATTGTTTATAATTATAAAATCTTCTTTCGTCTGGGAATAAAGGAGTTCATTTAAAAGAGTTCCTCTGTGAAGGACCTTGGAGGAGAGAATGCTATTGTTTATTTTTTATTGTCTCTCCGAGCTGCAGTCCAGTTGGTGTGAGGAAGGCAGGCTCTGATTAAAGGGACTGCGTGCAAACTTCAAGTCTCCTGTGAGGGGGAAATATTGTAGGTTGTGTCATAGCCAGGTTAAGTTGACCTGGCTGTAGATCTTGACCTGTGGGATCTCAAAATCAGGCCATTTTGTGGCGTTACATTAACAACCAGCTAGCCACTTCAAACTGAAAATGGTAAAGGCCCACTGTGTAAAGACCTAGTTTGGACGTCCTACAGATGTTGTCTGGACCGACAAGACTCATCTGCACGTCCATGTGACGTTGACCGTTTATAGGGGGAATTGTGTCCTCAGACCTGAACACAGACAGGACCTGAGTATTAGCATCAATGCTAATTATTTGTCCATGACAGCTTAGCCAGCATTACATCCAAACAAGAATATAAAGAATCTGCATGGACGACCAGCTCAGTGGCCCATAGTGTTAGAGTGTCCGCCCTGAGACTGGGTTTTTTTCTCAATGCCAAGGTGCCTGGCTTTGCGAGGCAATGTCTTGCGAGGCCAGGCACCTTGCTTACGAGGACACTGTCCTTCTTTGGTCAAAGAAAATGGTTAAATGGAACAGACTTGCATCACGTGACCGCGGCTTCCATGGTGGTCACGTAACGTCACATGACACAGGAGGTAGCGTTGTATTTTATACGTAATAGTTTCAATATAAATGTATAACGAGCCTTTTACTTTAAAGTTGTGTATATGTTGATTAAATTAAAATATAAGTAAGTTACTACCTGCTAGCCACCGAAGCTGCCACTACTAAGACACTAACCAATCATAGATAACTTCTTTGGATCTAAAAAAAACATTTTAAACTAGATATATTGCATTTCTTGCAGAAATGCTGTTTGAATGCTGGATAGCTTAAACTGTTAGCTGAATCAGCTTAATAGCTGAACTGAAGCTGAAAGTAAGCAAAACTGTCAAAATGAGCTGAATGTGTTGAAAGATGTAGAAGCAAAAATCACAAACAGACTCTCAGACTTCTGTCAGGGGAAAATACAGTAAGATGTGTCATGGCCAGGGTAAGTTGACCTGGCTGTGCATTTGACGTGAGGATCTCAAAATCAGGCCATTTCGTGACTTTACACTTTTAAATTTGAAAATTGTCCCCGAAGTAGCTGCCGGCTTCTGATCCATCGTCTTTCCGAAAATACTGCAGTGTGTTCTGGGTAATTTTTGACCAAGGCTAGGTTACAAGACACCTCCCGTGTATCCTTGCTCAGCTAGCCAAACAGCTAACGGAGAACACACACCTCGGTAGAACATGAACATTGGAACACGTCTTGGCGGCTCCCGATGACGTATCTCCTAGGCTACCGGGGCGGGGCTAAGACATCAAGGCAAGGTTCCTTGGCAATGAGAAACACCAGAGGAGATCGGGGTTCGATTCCTGGTCGGGTCATACCAAAGACTTTTAAAAAATGGGACCCAATGCCTCCCTGCTTGACACTCAGCATTAAGGGGTTGGATTGGGGGGTTAGTGTGTGACAACTAATGGGACTTTAACTTTAATACTTCAGAAAAAGAGTAAAGAGTTATTCTGCTGTAGAAAGACACAAACAGATGAATTGAATGCATTTCTTGCACTTTTTCCAAGGTTGCTAAATATTGATGGTCCTGACCTGGAAACAGCAAGCAACCGTGCTATTTGTGTCGTGTTTAAAACTGATGGGAAACCTATCACTGGTGTGATTTGCATTTTTGAATCCTCGTTTTGGAGCAGTCACCTTCAGTTCCAGTGAGCTGCAGGCTTCACAGACAGGAGGTTGAGGAAGGAAAGCCGTTGCTGTATTCCTCGACACGAAGTGTCTAAAAAGGCGTGAGTCAGCGACTGCGATGGAAACAAGCCCTGCTCTCGCTTTGATGCCTGCTCCACGGAGAGCAGCGAGTTTTCACTGAGTCAATAAGATCCATAACACCTTGTTTTGCTACCATCTGGGCTGCCTGAGAGCAAATGAATGAGGGGCTAAGTGGCTCTCAACACCTCCCTCATCCACTACATCAGCTCGCCAGCAGCAGCCAATTCAGCAGCGTAATTGATTTAGCGGCCGGCTAAAAGACGCTTTTACTTATCAGGGACTGGATTAAACCTCTTGCTGTTTGCTTCGTCGCTGATCACTACTAGCCAGTTACACTGGCGTTGATGGGATCTGTGGGTGTCTCTCTCCTGAAGCACTGCAAGGCGCCTAACCACAGTGTCTACTGGGATTTTTGTGCTAGGGTAAAAGTGTTTGGTTGCTTGGGAACATCGTGAGAAACGGGAAGGAAAACGATGAGCCATCGTGAGTTCAGCGCTCGGCAGCAGATTAAAATCTCTTCTTCTTTCCCTCCTGACAGCATCCTGTTTGCAGACATCGTGGGTTTCACCAGCTTGGCTTCCCAGTGCACCGCTCAGGAACTCGTCAAGCTGCTCAACGAACTCTTTGGGAAGTTTGATGAACTGGCCACGGTAAGTGTCCCACAGTTTAAAACTCAGAGAGGGAAGTCTGTGACCCCACGGCCTGACTCTGGATAAGCGGAAGAAAAAGGATGCATGGATGAACTAAATGTTATATGATAAATGTAATTATATAAATATAAAAATATTCACGTAAAGATGGGATGTTTCCTTGGAGTTAGGGGTTCGCTCACAGCTTCCCCTGCAGATTAGCCAGCAAAGCTCCTCTATTAAGTTAGAAATGCTCAACTTTTCCCGGAAGATCATAAACATGACATAAAACACAAACTGTGATTTTACCAAAACTGCACAAGATGCATGTTTTTTTTATTTTGTTGTTTTTTTGCAAAATACATCACCATGATTTTGTCATCAACAAAAAAAATAGCACACCTCCCCAGACAGAGTTGGTCAATTTGATGAGTCATTTGATTGCACACTCCCCTACCTGTAGACCCTCCACCAGAGGACCGTCTGGCAGGTTTCTGATGAAGGTGCTAATCCTGATGCTCCATTAGGAGGATTCAGAAGTGGTTTAACCTGTGACGACAGGTGCTGAAGGGTTACCTTCTATGCTGGTCTATGAAGATGCTTTGATTAGTTAGACATGGTTTTTCCTCCTGTGATGTGTTTAAATGCGACACGTGAGAAAAAAGAACAAGAAACTTTAGCTATTAAACAACGTCACTGAGCCCTTGAAGAGGGGGAGGCGAGATAGCTCCTGCTTTAGAGGTCCGTTCGCCTCCAAGAGGACTGAATGTTTTATTCAGTCCCAGAGCTCATTTGTTATGCCAAACCGTATATTTATTGATCCAGAGTGTGAAAGTAAGGCTGGAGAGGTTGACTGACATGGAGGAGGAGGAGGGGGGAGGTCAGGAAGGAGAGATGAGGAGGATTGTTTTCAGTTTGAGTGTGTGAATGGATGTGATGAAGCCCTATTGAGACTTGTGAGTGTGTGCACGCAGCGCGCATCAGTAAGCCAGTGCAGCTCTGTTCTCTGGGAAAAAAAAAGATTATGTTAGTGATAGGTTATCTGCAGCAGCAGCACTGCAATCATATTAATACTGCATGATCCTTGTTTTTATCACCATCCAATAGATGAGAGGCAAAGTTCTTCCTGGTCCAGCAGGACGTCTCTAACTGGGTCTAACTGTGACTCTGATCGTAACTCAAATCCATACACTCCTGTTACAACCCAGGTGTCTAGGGGGCCTGGGGTAACATGGAGGACGCGTGACACAAAGGAAAATGAACAAAGGTTTTATTTTATTTTCTCTTTTTTTGTTTTTGTCTAAAGCCTGATTCATGCTTCTCCGTCAGCTCCGCAAGGGACAGACACGCACGGATTGACGGAAGCGTTTTGCTCTCATACTTCTCCGTCTCCTGGGGAGTGTAGCTAAGCAATTCCCCTCCAGGACAGCAGAGGGCGTAGCGCTGTTCTGTGGTATCCTGTCATGTATCGGTCCAAGATGGTGTGTTTATATTGTGTTTTTTTTGTATATAAGAGACTTTTTAACCCTGACATATTTGTCTCTCATCCTCCTCCACCTCTTCATGCGCTCGCCACCTCTAAACCCACGTTTCCTGTCATTTCCGTCCACAAATAAAACGCTTGCTGCATCTTTTCACTCCTCCAGTCATGGGAGAATTAAACGTTCGTGTTTTTAGAGTTTTTTTCGCGAGGTATTCTTCAAGCTTCTCCGTGTCTGCCGCTAGTTATCCTCGGCTCTTTGTTTTTGAGGGCGCAATGGCGGTGCTGTTGACGACAGCGGCGCCCTGACCAATCACAAGCTCGCGTTGTCCGTCTCGACTGACGAATGTTTAGAAAAGAGAGCTCGACTCCGTCCGTCCTTGCGGAGCTCTCCGGCAGGCCCGCGAGGACGTTGCGTGTCTCCGCGCTGACGCAGACGGAGAAGCATGAATCAGGCTTTCCTCTAGAAAAGAAACCAGCATAGAACAAAAAAAAACATTTAACCAAAACAGGCTCAAACACTAAAATGTAATATAACAAGGACCTACTCGAAAGAGAGCACAAAATCTCAACCACTAAAAGGTAACAGATTACCCCTAAAGCTTATTTCTTCTCACTATTCTATATCAAAGCCCTAAGTGGGAGACAACAGACCAGAGAAAAGGCAGCTCTGCACTATTGTCCCCATCGGTGAGGAGCTCCAGCAGGTCCTTTAAGCAATCAGCGGCTGATGAAAACCCGGCTCAGCTGGTGCAGGGAGGAGCAAGGGTGAGCAAACAGGCCATAGTCTGCAGGCATGCTCCTCAGATGCAGCATAAATGAGAGCAAAAAATGCACAGAAAAATGAAAACACAACACAACAAGGCTCCAGCCGTAACAACTCCTTAAACGTTTGGACCAAATTTTGTCTTGTGTTAGCCTAGAAACATGTAGACCTTTCAATCCAGAAATGCCCATTTAGTTATTATTTTACCCAGTTGGTCCAGACAGGGGTGGACTGGCCTATCTGGCATTCTGGCACTGTCCCGGTGGACCGCTTAGCCAAGTGGGCTGCTTGCCCAGCTTGGGCCGACACTACTCCACAGTTGGTGATCTGCAGAACAATAGCTACATGGTAACCCGAAGCTAACAGAGTTTTCTCAGGCATTTTTAACAAGAAAAACGCGGTAGAGCGATGACGTAGGAGTTGTTTTACCGTGCTAGCATGTAGCTAATGTCCCGCTGATCTCCGCCCGTGGAGAATGAGCTGATCTGGAAGGCCAGGGCTCCCTGTCACAGCGGTCTAGCCCTGCTTGTAATTTAACAGTCCCAGTCCATATTAGATCTCACATTCGGCCTAGAGACGAGTTTGCGGGCGGCGACACCCCCCACCCCCACCGCTCTCCCAATGGGGAGGGCCGACTGAGGGCCGACGAGTCGTAAAAATGCCAGGGCCGGATTCTGGACCCAGTCCACCCCTGGGTCCAGAATCTCACTTGGCAGCATTTGCTGGTGACAAATCACATTTGTTGAATGATGCTGCAGGCAGCATAACGTTCTCCTTGTCTTCTCCAGACTCTTTCACGTCTATCACAGGTGCTCAGGGTGAACCTGATCTCGTCTGTAAAAAGTACAGGACGCCGGTGGCGGACTTGCCAATTCTGGTGTTCTTGAGCAAATACCAGTCGAGTTCTACGGTGCTGGGCAGTGAGCACAGGGCCCGCTACAGGACGTCGGGCCCTCAGGCCATCTTCATAAAGTCTGTTCCTGATTGTTTGGGTAGAGACATTCACACCAGTGGCCCTCTGGAGGTCATTCTGTAGGGCACGAGCAGTGCTCAGCCTGTTCCGCCTTGCACAAAGGCGCAGGTATCGGTCCTGCTGATGGGTTGTGGACCTTCTACGGCCCTGCCCAGCTCTCCGAGAATAACCGCCAGTCTCCTGAAATCTCCTCCATGCTCTGGAGATTGTGCTGGGAGACACATTAAACCTTCTTGCTGCAGCACGTGTGGATGTGCCATCCTGGAGAAGTTGGACAACCTGTGCAACTTCTGTAGGGTTAAGCAATCGCCTCATACTGCCAGTAGAGAGCCAAAACCAGCACGAGTGGAAAACCAGCCGAAAAAGATCAAGAGGGAGAAACTTGGAATGACATCTACGTTTTAAACCAGTCCTGTTTTGAGGGTTTTGTAATTGTTGCCACTTTAGTGCACCTGTCATTAAGTCCATGAACACCAATCCAGCTGAAAGTGATTAATAATGCCCTCAGCTGCTTAATCAACCAGGAAATTATCAGACAGGTTTAATTGATTTCATGCCAGGCCCAATAAAAACAGTGTTCCTTTAATTCTTGTGAGCAGTATATTATTATGACATCACTGCAACATGATTGGACCGATGGATTTCTGTAACAACTGAAACTATTTTGAGAATAAACTACATGTTTACAGCTGCTGTGACATCAGAGCGAGCCCTGAGATTTAAGGAGGGATGACGAGAACCAGAAACTCCCTAATGAGTAATGAAACTTTCAGCGTCACATGATGCCCTGAGTGACCTGGTCAGCTGGTCCCCCGCAGTCGCAGGCCTGCAAATTTCTGTTTTTATTTGTTTAAATGCAACTTTGCACATTTACTAACAACACACACTGATCCCACACAGATGTTTATGTGCATTAGAAACGGTCCGTATGGCTCTTTCACCCCTCATCGTAAAACATGCTCAAACTGCATTGCCATGAGGCCAGAGCAGCACACACACACACACACACACACTTAGAGTCACATGATCAGAAGGATTATCCCCGTTGAGTTAATTCTGCATCTCCACAATCAGTCACGGCTTAACGAAGAGTGACAGAGGGGGGGAAGAGCACGATAGAAGGTGAAACGAAGCACACCATCACTGCTTTAGTGCTCTATGATATGAAAATCTTCTGATGGTGATACATGTGTGTGTGTGTATGTGTGGGTGTGTACAACAGCAGCTGCATCCTGATTGAGATTTATACTCCATCGCTTTAGCCAGGGAGAAATTCACTTTTAAACCAGCTCTGTCGCAACTGCTGAGCCTGTCTGACTGTCATACACTGCACGACACATTTGTTCCCCGAAGGCTCAGCCTTAACGTAACATGATCAGACACACACCTAACCTTCCACCGGCTGCAGGTGAACACCATCAGGTGTGACCAACAGCATGGACACTGGGCTCTGAAAGGTCTGCAGGTTTAAAATCCCCAACCCGCCTCTGAAACAACGCCTTTCTCCTGAGACGTGTCTTTCTGTCAGCTGACGACTCATTTCTACTCACACACACACACTCATTTTCACGCACGCACACACTTCTGATCCTTGTGCAGGGATAATCAGCCACGTTCTGAATTCTCATATCCTCCCACGCCAGAATCTTTCTGCTCCCGTGAGCAGAAAACCAGAGCACCCCTTCTTTTCTCCTCTCATCTCAGTTTCTCACCCTGCAGTCGTCATGAATCCTGTGTGTGTGTGAGCGTGCATGCGTGCACAGGCTGCCTGCAGGGGAAGCTTTGTAGGGTTTGCCGTCATTATGTCTGATGAGTGTGTGAGTGATGCCGTCACTGAAAGGAAATCTTGCATATGAAACTAACTGGAGCTCTTTGCAGAAGGTTTACATGCAACCATGCAGCTGTTTGTGTTTGCACATGCGTCTGGTGTGTGTGTGTGTGTGTTTATTTTTGTACTCGTGACATCCTCACCGGTTCTGAGCACAATGTGCACTGTGACAAATACGGGATCTTTCTGGGAATGTGTGGGTGGGATTCTACTTCAAGAGCATGTCGGAGCAATTAGAGTTGGCCTCCAGAACAAACGCGCTCACGGTTTCACCAGCAACACGTCTGATTTCCATGATCAAGCATGCAGTTTTGATGCAGCGTCAGCATTATTTCAGGTAATAACAGCTAAAGTTCCCTAAATCTGAAGCTTCATCACGTAAACGTGTGGAAGTCTTTGTACTTGAGCTCTACGTCTTTGCAAAAGTAATCAATCAATCAATCAATCAATCAAACTTTATTTGTATGGCACTTTTCACATACAAAAAATACAGCTCAAAGTGCTTTACAGGTTAAAATCACCCCTTATAACCCTTAATCCCATCATTTCCCCAAAAATATAAAAATAATTATGACTGTCCCCCCCCCCCCCCCCCAAGGTATTTCCTAAGGAACATGCACCCACCCACACACACACACACACACACACACACACACACACACACACACACACACACACACACACGAACAACAAATACACACGTGCTCTGCTTATACTGAGCCAGGATTCTCTGGAGGTTTCTTCCTGTTAAAAGGGAGTTTTCCTCTCCACTGTCGCTGCATGCTTGCTTAGTATGAGGATTGCTGTAAAGACTCTGACACTAGTCAGTGACTCAATGCAATTTGCTGGGTTCCTTATTTAGGAAACTTTTTTTGCTGATTGGCTTAATGAACTGACCTGAATTGGAATGTTTATTATGTGAAGTGCCTTGAGACGACGCTTGTCGTGATTTGGCACTTTATAAATAAAATTTAACTGAACTGAGATGAGGAGGATTAAAATAGAACCAGAGAGAATTTCATTTCTGTTGAAAAGTAGACCAAAAATTGCTGTTCAGAACTTTGGAGCTTGACAGCAGCTGATGGTAACCAGAAATAGCTGGACCTGCCTAACAAACACTTCAGTAGCTTTAAGTGCAGCAGGATTAATACAATTTCTAGCCTTCAGCAGAATCACAATAACTCATAGCCTCACAAGCCATATGTATATATATATATATATATATATATATATATATATATATATATATATATATATATATATATGTGTGTGTGTGTGTGTGTGTGTGTGTGAACATATAGTCCACCCACAACCCATAGTTAGAGCTCAGTCGTGGGGCGGGATCCACAGTTATCTTTCAAACTGTCTCCACACGCTATTGGACAACAAACAACCGTTCACCATACACTGCTGAAGAAGACACAAATACAAGCTTTTCTAAATAAAGGACCCAAGAACCTCTATCTGCTCTTGACTCAAAGAAAAACCCAGGTCTAAGTTCAGAGTTGATGCACACTTATCTCTGCCTGTACCCAAAACAAGTCTTGCTATCTGAATCTGGTGCCCTGAGGCTGAAGTGTAAACTCCCCTCAGAAGAAATGTGGAAAGCTGCTGTCGCCATGCAGACTCTTTCTCCCTATCCCAGCCTGGGTGGGACTGTGACCGGTGAAGGCCGTGGAACCGTATCTAGGATTCAATGTGCTCTCTAACCCAATAATCTCCCTCCCCTGTCCAAACAGAGGTGATGAACGCTGCTCCATGCGGCTGCACGCACTGAAGTGAGGAGAGTCCCAGAACCCTCCCTCCCCACCTAGAGGGCACTTATGTTGTGTATCGTCTGAAGTCTGTGGGCATATTTGTCTGAGGTGTTTTTTTGCATAGCAAAGCTATCCTCTCTGTCGGGGATAACTCTGAAGTGCCTTTTTTTCTCTTCCCCTGACTCTATCCTTATATAAACCCTCTTTCTTCTTCATACTTCCGGCTCTTGGAGAGTACAGACGCTCCTCTCCTCCCTATCTTATCCCTAGGCTCTTGGTCTGTCACTAGGTGTACGGCGCTTGTGCATTTTTTCTGGAAACTTGAAATTATTGAAAATGGACCTGGTCAGCTGGTCTCTCAACGCGATTGACGAGACTTTTTCAACGATGAGAACAGGAGAAGGGGCTCCCGGTTGCCCCTCTGGGACAGAGCCAGCTGGGCATACCATGGACTCCTGGAAACAGTGGAGCCTGATCTGCCTCTCTCAACTGTCTGTAGAGGATTCTGAAGACGTCTGGATATTCGTGGTGTTGGTGTCAGGTTTCTTGCTGTTTGGCCTGAGCGGTTACCCGGCTTACCGGAAAAATAATGAGCTTTCGAGGAACATTGGCCCAATCCCGGAGCTCAGGGATGGATTACACTGCGCTTTGAACGCACAAACTCATATAATTGTCGAGATGAGTCGTAAGCTTGGAACTTGGGCTGAGATTCAGGCTCTGGCACAGAAGGTTGATGCCAGCAAGGATAGTGTTGACGGGACAGCACGGTTGGGAATAGATTAATTTACGCCATTATTGGATCTAGAGGGGTTGGAGACCAACAGAACTTTAAGACAGAGAGGAAATTATCTCTGTCTGGCCCCAAAACAAGTTCTTATCTGAATCTGGTGCCCTTGAGCCTGTGAGGCTGAAGTGATTACTCCCCCTCAGTAGAAATGTGGAATACTGCCGTTACCATGGCAACTCTGTCTCCCTATTCCAGCCTGGGCTGGACTGAGACCGGTGAAGGTCGTGGAACCGTTTCCAGGAGTCACTGTGCTTTCTAACCCAACTACCTCCCTCCCCTGTCCAAACGGAGGGGACGAGCGCTGCTCATTGCGGCTGCATGCACTGATGTGAGGAGAGTCCCCAACCCTACCTCCCCACCTAGTGGACACTGATGTTGCGTAATGTCTGAAGTCTGTTGCATTTCTGTCTGAGGTGTTTTTTTTGCATAGCAAAGCTGCCCTCCCTGTGGGGGGTAACTCTGAAGTGCCTTTTTTCCCCTCCATCTGACTCAATCTCCTCGGGTTGCGAATGACCACAGTCACCAATTCTTGTCATGTGTCTATGTATGTATGTCTGATCTTGGAATTGTCTGTACTGGAACAATTGCCCCTCGGGGATGATTAAAGTTTTTTTTTTATTTGAATTGAATTTGAAAGACATGATTAACTCATTCACTGCCAGCCGTTTCCTGATCGCTAAAGCCCTTCGCTGCCAGCATTTCTCACCATTTTTACTGTTTTTTTAAGTGTCAGAGAACGTTGCGTGCTAGGATGATGTAGACGCCAAAACAACCAAAACTAAGCGGAGAATTGTGATCGGCAGAAGCTTTTCCGGTTCGCACCTCACTTTTTTTACAGCAGCGGCCCAAAACGATCTCCTAACACATGGATGTCTGCTTCCTAGTCACGTGACATGTGACGTACGCGGATGAAGATCGGCTTTAGAGCTGAGATGTTTGTTCTCGCGGTGTGGGGGCTCGTCCGACGCCCACACAGTAAAAACATGCAAATGACAACTTTAGTTGTAAATGGCAGTGAATGAGTTAAGATAATTAGAAGTTGCTAACCCATCTCATGGACTAATCTTGCTGCTGCAAGCTTTCGCAACCCAAAGCGACCGCCTGGCATTGCCTGTGGCAGAGCAGAATTGCTTTGCCTCTGCTCCTGTCTACTATATTCTAGGCTAAATAACGTCATCAGTTCTCATCATTAGTAGAATATAGTAAATGCATGGCAATCACAACAATCATTCCTGTAAAAATGCTTGACCTCTAGATATATTTTTTCCCAATTCCGTCAGTAACCCTTTAACTTTTTCTCATTGTAAACTAGTGTCACATATTCTCACCAAATCACTCCTGGGCAAGCCCTGGCATTTTTACCAATTGTCGGCCCTCCCCATTGGGAAAGCGGTGGGGGTGGGGGGTGTTGCCGCCCGCGGACTCGTCTCTAGGCCGAATGTGAGATCTAATATGGACTGGGACTGTTAAATTACAAGCAGAGCAAGACCGCTGCGACCAGGTGCCCTGGAGATCAATGGTACATTAGCTACATGCTAAAGCGGCAAAACAACTCCTACGTCATCGCTTTACTGCGTTTTTCTTGCTAAAAATGCCTGGAAAAACTCTGTTAGCTTTGGGTTACCATGTAGCTAATGTCCTGTAGATCACCAACTGTGGAGTAATGTCGGCCCAAGCTGGGCAAGCAGCCCACCGGGCCAGAATGCCAGATAGGCCAGTCCACCCCTGCTCCTGGCCATAAAACCTTCAGCAGGACCATCAGGATTAGTACTTTTATCAGAAACCTGTCATATCTAGTGCCACACACATCTAATGTCCCCTACTGGTGGAGCTACAGGTGGCGAGAGCCTATTTCTTTATTATTATTATTGTTATTGTTATTATTATTATTATTGTTGTTGTTGTTGTTGTCATTATCACCTGAAGACTGATATTCAGGAATCTTTATTTTTAATTAACTTTTTCTGCAAGCATCCACGTATCTTTAAATAAAATATAAGAACAACAACCTGCTCTATCAAGTCACAAGTCAGTTTCTATGCATAACTCTTCTTTAGTTTTAAAAAATGCAGTTTCCTGCATGTAATATAGTCAGATTCACAGTTATTCAGCTGAAATTAAGATTACTAAACGTATAATCAGGTAAAAAGGTGTACTGTTCATTTCCTATCAGTGTGACACAATAAGTATTTGGATTTAGGTGAATATAAATCATGTTTGAAGCCATGTGTCCGTCTGTTTCTGCAGGAGAATCACTGCAGACGTATAAAGATACTGGGCGACTGTTATTATTGTGTTTCTGGGCTGACGCAGCCTAAAGCAGACCACGCCCACTGCTGCGTGGAGATGGGACTGGACATGATCGACACAATCGCGCAAGTAACACACACCTATGAGTTTCAAATAACACACAGTCACACACACACTGAAGTTTCTATTGGTCAGATTTTTTTCTTGGTTAATAATGAACCTTAACTTTTTTTTTTTTTTTTACAAATGAACACCAAATTTGTTTGATTAATCTGCTGTGTGCTCTAGTATGAATGAATGTTGTTTTTGTGATGAAAAAAGCTCTGGCGCCCCTGTTTCAGGAAGTAAAAGTTGGTGAGAGGAGTAGGGGTGCAGAAAGTGACAGGATGAAGAGTCACACTTTTTAATATTCATGATATGCAAGCGTCTCGTCTCTGATTGGGTAACAACTCCCTTTCCCGTCTTTCTTCTCTCCGTGGCAGATGATCGTTCAGCAAGTACGTGAAACTCAGAGTGACCAATCGAATAAAAAAAAAAGTATTGCACAGTTTCTCTGTTAGCAAGACCGTTAAGTTTATAACTTTAAAAGAACTTTGGAAATCACCGACAGTCAAATAGTTTATCAGGGAAGGGAACTTTATCCATTCTCCGTGGGTGTCACCGACACGAAAGGCTCACGACTGTCAAAACGGGGGATTTGGGTCAAAAATCGGCACAAGCATCCCGCTGTGTGAACAAAAACCAGCAGATCGTGACAATTATTGTTTGTTTCTATGAACTAATACCACCTGATTTGACAGAGTCCTACATAGAGTCTTGAATAGAGAACCAAAGTTTAAAGCTCCATTCCTGAACTTTGCAGATATTTGCTCTCTGTCGCCCTCTCAAGGCTGTGTGACGTCACTGTCGTAAAATCACATCTCTGTCACGCGTAAGAGGCATGTTTACTGGCTGTTTCCAATTCGCGTGCCCAAACAAACACATTAAGCGGCGTTTCAGCATTGAATAAAGTTTTATCAGGACTAAATAACAACTTTCTGCCCGACAAAACACAAGAACCCTGGTGAAACAATTTACTACTTAACTATCCATTAGCAGCATGGCTAGGTCAGAGTCCATAGTCCATGCCGTTCTCTCGAGAAGAGCTCTCCAGTGAGGAAAATCCAGCCCAATGCTAACTCTGGTCTTTGCTCTATCGCGTTCTCCTTTTCTTTTCCTAGATTCCTCTGATGAGGAATTTCTAGCTTTCTTTGGCGGATTTGCCTTTGCTCAAGTCTCTGAACCGTGGGTCTACCACAGACATACACACGTAGACGCCCTGTGGACTAGCACTGCCATAATGGCTGGCCGCCATTTTAAATGGGTCTCCATTCGCACCCAGTGCATTAATTTCTACTAAGGAAGTTGCTACCCAACTAAAAAACACATTTTATCAAGCGTTGTGACAAAATCAGACACAAGCTGTTCACTCTGCATTGACTTTGGACTTTTCTACAGTCTCTGCTTTGGAGAGTGAGACCCATCCATAAAGCAATACGCAGTCAGCACATCTGGCGGCGAATTGTGTAGTGTGGTAAACAGACGTGAGACCCCGTATTACAGCTTCAAAAATGAACATAATATAGTATGCCACCAGAACTTCAAAAAGAAAACATTACTCAAGCTGTAAAAGTAATGGAATGGGGCTTTAAAGTGATGGTTTTCCAGCTAAAACCTGCTTGTGAGCACATGTGAAGCCTCAACCTTTCTCAGTAGCCTAGTTGTAGAGTGACCACCCTGAGACTGGGAGATCAGGGGTTCGATTCCTGGTCGAGTCATACCAAAGACTTTGAAAAAATGGGACCCAATGCCTCCCTGCTTGACACTCAGCATTAAGGGGTTGGATTGGGGGGTTAAACCACCAAATAGTTCCCGAGCGCGGCTGTGTCTGCAGCTCACCGCTCCCCCAGGGGATGGTCAAATGCGGAGAATAAATTTCGCACACACATCTGTGTGTGTGACAACTAATGGGACTTTAACTTTACATGTGCACAACCAAGAGCATGAACGCTGACGTGTTCATTTTCTTGCTGCTTAGTCTGAGAGTGGATGGATCTGTCCTTTTCTCAGAGGACAGACACTCGCAACGCACCGATGTGTGTAAGACACCCCCACCCTCACTTCATTTCTGCTTCCTTCTGCATTCACAATCAAACACGTAGTCTACCAGCCTCTTCCTCGCTGCTCCATGTCCTCTTCCTCAGCTTCGCTCGTGACTCTGTGAGGAGTTTAGCGTGACAGATCTCCCGCTGACGATGAGGAGTTTTAGGAGGTGATTTAGGAGGTGATTTAGGAGGTGATTTTGGGAAAAGCTTCTGCAGCTACCGCAGGAGGTAGGTGGTGCAGCGCTAAAACACCGATTAAAACTTTGTGATCTGAACGAACCCTTGGAAACCTGACTTATGAATTAATAATAATTAAACTGAAAGTCACTAAGTCAACATAACAACTCTATTATAATCCGTTGTATTTCATTATAATTCTAACAGCCTGCATGGTGGAGCACTGTACCTCACAGCAACAGCGTTGCTGGTTTGAATCCCGCCTGTGCTGCTTTTCTGTGCAGTTAGTGTGTTATCCGCATGCATGTGAGCGTTTTTCTCCCGCAGACCAAACCAGGCATGGTGGGTTAAACTGCTTGTTTTGTATGTTGTTTAAAATTATGAGCGTAACTTGAAAATGCTGACATTTCACAGTTTGACCCTGTTTTATGAGATAAAGAAAGTATTATTTCTAAGTTGATATTCTCATTTACACAAGCCAAGAAAGTTGACTGCGGCCAATCAACAGGAACGCACCCCAGTACCCAGCATGCACTGCAGGGTGATGCACTGACGCAGCTTATTGTGTATTAGAGCTAGGTGCATTAGCGTTTTAGCATTAGCGTGTGCTAGCACGGTGAGTTCCTGATTCCTGCTCAGTGGCCTAGTGGTAGAGGGTCCGGCCTGGGACTAAGAAATCGGGGTTCAAATCTTGGTCGGGTCATAATAAAGACATAAAAAATGGGACTCCCTTCTTGACACTCAGCTTTAAGGGGTTGGATTGGGTTCCCGAGCACAGCCACTGCTGCAGCTCACTGCTCCCCATGGGGATGGGTCAACTGCAGAGATGAATTTCACCAGTGTGTGATGACTAGAGGGACTTTAACTTTAGATGTTTCCCTGCTTCAACGCTGCAGTTTTGGTTTGATTTGCAGCACCTGCAGAACCTGATGAAGGCTGAGGAGCATTTAGACCTACAAGGTCACTTGTGTGTTCATGTGGGGTCAGTATCAGGCTGGTAATATACTTGCTTTTTAATTACGCATGTTTAAAATAGCTGAGCCCCATAACTGGCCTAGATTAAAAGCATCATTTGTGCACATGTGTGAGTAATCATTAGGTGGAGTTGACAACCTGAGACACAGTCGCCGGTCTCTCCGTCTCTGGTTTAGTGGCCTTTAAGATCATATGTGATACCGCAAAATATTCTCACACCCAAAGCGACTAAAACTGACGAAGGGTGACCAAGCATTTGTTTCCTGCATCAACACGAGTTTAAAAAGCAACTAAATTCCCAACATTAGATGGAATGGATAGGGGCAGGACTGGTAGCCATAGACATAAATACAAAGACACCCCATTGAGTGCTGGACAGCCATATTGGATGGGTCTCCTCACTCTCCAAAGTCAAGCAGGGTGAGCAACTAAGCCCGTTTCTTGCAGCTTATGGCTACAACAGCCGGCGTACTATTGAAAACAAATCATGTGGGATTACTATTGATGTTTCTAGCCTACCTGATGGGATTTCACATTTAAAATTATTTAAATTTATTTAGATTAAATATTTTTAGATTTTAATTATCATGCCATACCTTGTGTCTGATGTGAAAAAAAATTGACAAAATGTGTTTTTAATTTGGATAAGCATCTTCCTCAGTAGAAATAAATGCACTGGGGGCAAATGGAGACCCAACCAAGATGGCAGCTTGCCACTATGGCAGCTCCAATGGGGAGCGCCAGTCCCTGGAGCATCCATGTATATATGTCTGTGTTGGGAGCTATATGTAGCAGTTAAAATTTCAAAATCTCCCCTTCCTCTCCTTGATGATGTCACGCTACAGATCCCTGGTTTCAACGGAGACTCCAAATTGCCATAAGTGAGTATGTGACTGGTCCTTTGTCTTCATGTGTCCCTGTTTTGATGAAGGGACTAACCCTGATCTGATCTTGGTGCTTCAAGGCCAGAAGTGGGTTGAGATAAAGTTGTGATTTATCTACAAATGATCTAGGCAATTCCTGTTTGTTTTTGTTATTTTTACCTTCAGTTAAATTCGTTTTCATCTGCAACAGTTGAACCACTACAAGGTGGCAGACAGGTGACAAAGTTTTTGCCTATTTTTGTCACAAACTACTGGATGGATTTTAATGAAACTTGAAAAGTAAACTCCAGACTGAAGTAAAACACTTTTGGAGTAAACTTGTTTCATTTTTTTCTTCCACCTGACGACAGAGAACTCAAAAATGTTCTAATCTGAACTAAAACTTGTGTTTGTAGAGTTCCAGATCTGGTCTTAAAACTTTGGCATTAACTGTTGAAGCTGACCTTGAAGATGAAGAATGTTTTAACATAACTTTAAAACAATCTGTAGTCCACCCAGTTCCAGTTTGCTGCCGCGGTTTCTGGTTTAAATCCTAACGTAAAAAGTAATCAAAAAACTGGAGTGAGACAAGCCCTCCTTCAAGAAAGGGTAGGCTTTTAATTTCTTAAAGGTTGTGCACTTCTTGAGTTTTAATTTTTTTTACCATTTTTAACTGATCATACATATATATAAAACAGAAACTGGTTTTGGAATGTTTTAAGTACATTTTGAAGTACTTAAAAGCAGGGGCGCCTCCAGAAAATTTTGATGGGGGTGGCCAGATGGGACCAAATACATTTTTGGGGTGGCACACCAAATTGGTCCTTGTGGTAGCTCTGGGGGAATTTAGCCTGTGGCGATGTGCTGCATTGCACCTTTATTCGTTTTTATTAAAATAACAGTACGTTGTCACGTTGAGCCAGGAGGAGGTTAGGACCCAAGATGCAGAAACCCAGAACGACACAAGGCAGGAGCGAAATCAAAGTAAAAGCCTTTGTTTAGGAAGAGACTCCAAAATTCAAAAATCCAAAAAGGGCAGGAAGCCAAGCCTAAAGTCAGTAGCCCGACTGACAAAAACAAAAAACTCTTTGATGAGCAAAACCTAGAGTTTCACGAGGAGGAACAGAACAACACTGACAACGACAATGGACCAACAAACACTGAGATACAGACAGGGTTATATACACAGGGGCTGGGTGATAGGAGACGAGGAGCAGGTGCGTGAGGAATTGGGCACAGGTGAAACTAATGAACTGAGGGAAGAAGCAGAAATAAGCAGGGGAGAAAACCATATCTCAATCCTAAACCAGGGGTGGGGAACCCTGGTCCATCGAGGGCCGCTATCCAGCATATTTTAGTTTCAACCCTGCAAGGGTGGAAATCCCATTTAAATTTTGGGAGGGACAATAAACAGTAAAACTTCAGAGAGTAATTTTTGGGGGGGACATGAAAAAAAATGCTCTCTACATACAACACTGTATGTCCTTATAAGAGACTGACCTGTGACGCTGTGCCTGTGTCTGACAGGCTCTGGCTGCCTGTGCTCAAGTGACTGGACTTTGCCTCATGAAACCATTTAGAAACAATTTCATTTCTTTCTTACAGATGTCTTTATCAAAATGCAAGTTTCTACTTGCTTGACGTTCTGGAGCATTAAAAAAACGACCTGATGTCTGCTGTTTTTCGTTTCTCTGCCATTTCAACTGACCTGGTCTGCTGACAGTTGGACAGCAACACACACACAGATGGGATGTTGTCATTAGAACGGACATGGAGGATATTGATCAACAATAATATCTTGCCAATTTTGTACATCTCCATAAGCATCCTTTCTTTTTGTTTTCATTTCAATAACAAGACTGTGGCCTAAAACGGAATAAGCAATTCAGAATAAAGATTTAAAAGTAGATCGTTAATAGTTGAAGCAACATGTCCTGAAATGACACGGCTACTAGCTGACCAACAGCTACACGTGTGGACGGATGCAAAACAGTAATTTTAAGTAGTAAAACATATCTAACTGTTTCACAACAAAGAGAGAGAACATAAATGTCAAATTAAAATTGTATTAAACCACATAACATGAAAGCTACTAAAATCCAAATAGTTCCATATTGATTTTAATATATTTGAAATTTTCCTTCTAAATATGGCTAGAAAAACTTCAAATCAGCTTTCACAAGTCAAGTATAAAAGTGACTGAAATCTCTTTAATAAATCATAGAAATGTTTGTAGGCTATTAGAGAATAACTGTACTATTTAATAACTTTATCTAAGTCCTACTGAACGAAAAGATACACAAAATCTAAAAATATATTCTTGAAATATTTGTTTCATTTTAATAATAAAAATTTAAAACTTTTACTTTACAAATACACTAAACCTATACATACTCTATACTGTATCTTTCAGTTTAATCGATCTCTCACTTTTCTCAGTTTTCAGAGTGTTTTTGGGTCTGTGTGGCCAACGGGATCTTTGGCTCTATGTTTTACACTGAGAGCTTTGAGCAACGTGCCTCCACCACACATTTGCTGCAACCAGCTCATCCCTAAGCTGCACGGTGCACCTGCACTTAGACATATTGTAAACAGCTGCAGAGCCTGAGGAAGACGTGATGAGAGCGGTTAAACGCTGTGGTTTTCCGTACATCGGACCAGTTAGTTTTGATTCTACCATATTCATCTGCTAAATAGGATGAAACGTGGACATTTTCATCGATCTACAAATGCTCCGCAGATTCCAGGGAAGACCGTGAAAGCGTACGTGTCCGGAAAAAGGAACTTTTGGTCACCTTAGTGAATGGAATAATAATAGCGGAATAATCCTGGAATGACCAGAGAACATGAAGTGACAACTTTTTTTTTTTACTGTGGTGGTGGTGGTCTGTCATAAAGGGATCTCCGACCGTTGATCAAAAACTAAAGAAAATCGGTGTCTATGTCTGACATTTTTGACCACATGTGACATACACATTTAAGTTTGTAGAACAAGCGTGTGATTATTGACTTACTGCTGGAAACCACTGGCTTTTTGATTCCCGCCTCCTATGAGCCTGCGAGCTGCTGTGAAGCTGTGAGCGGGGCAGAGCCGGCAGCCCCGCCCGTTGGAAACAGCGCGTGTGGACCGACCGTACCAACTTGAGGAATTGGGCGGGGTGGACTATAATTTCTCAACAATTAAAAACACACTGTTTTGTATTTGCAGACTAACTTTTACGTTGTGTTTTTAGAATAAAATACAGGTTTACTGATAGCATTTATACGTTTACAATAACTTTTGTGGGGGGGACAATTTTGTGTGTGTGGGGGGGCGCATCACCCCCCCCCCCCCCCATCCCCCCTGGGATCTCTGCCTATGCCTGCATCATCACACCTGATTTCAATCAGCAGGTGATTAACAGGCTTCTGCAGAGCTTGATGAGCTGCTGAACAGGTGAATCAACCACTGAATCAGAAGGGTTGGAGCAAAGACGTTCAGGATACCGGCCCTCGAGGACCAGGGTTCCCCATGCCTGTCCTAAACCAAAGCTACTAAAATAACCTGAACTTTAAACACTGTAGAACAAAGACTAAAGATAAATAAACTAACGATAAGTGAAGTGAATAAAGGGAAACCTGAAGAAGCTGGGGACCTATATGGAGGCACAGAAGATTAGGGGGCACATGAGGGGAACCAGGAGGGGGCTGGGGACCACAGGGACACAGAACATGACATACTTATCCAATTTAAATTTTACAAATTCAAACATTTTAGAAAAAAAAATTTTAGTCATTTAAATTTTTTTTCATTTTATTTAAAAATTCATTTTATTAGGTTTATTCACCTGTTTCTGCATTCACACACAAAAAACACTATGGAAATAAAAACTGTTTTTATTTCATGGGGCGACGGTGGCACAGGAGTTAAGTGCTCGCCCCGTAATCGGAAGGTTGCAGGTTCGAGCCCCGCTCAGTCTGTTGCTGTCGTTGTGTCCTTGAGCAAGACACTAAACCTACGTTGCCTGCTGGTGGTGGTCAGAGGGACCAGTGGCGTCGGCAGCCTTGCCTCTGTCAGTGCGCCCCAGGGCAGCTGTGGCTACATTGTAGCTCATCCCCACCAGTGTGTGAATGTGTGTGTGAATGGGTGAATGACTGATTGTGTTGTAAAGCACCTTGGGGGGTTCCAGGACTCTAGAAGGTGCTATATCAAATACAGGCCATTTACCATATAGTGGGCAGCAGAAACATTTGTATTTTTTATTCTGATTATTTCTTTACTCATTAATTGTATTATTTAAATTTTGTTTTACAATTATGTTTCCAATATACAAGATCAATATATGGTTTGACTGAACATTAATATGATTTTTTGACACTGGCTTTTCCTTGGGGGGGGGGGGGGGGGGGGGGAGCAATTTTCTAGAGTGGCCATGGCCACCCCTGACCACCCCTTGGGGGCGCCCTTGCTTAAAAGGCAGAAAACAGAGAAAATCAACCTAAAAGCAACATTTAAACATTAGCTTAACGTCATCAAATATAAAGTGAAACAACGCTACATCATTCATTTTTATCTTTCTCCTGCTGAACGGTTTCTCTTCCTGCAGGTCAGTGGTGGAGGCTACTGAGGTGGATCTGAACATGCGTGTTGGTTTGCATACGGGTCGGGTTCTGTGTGGTGTTCTGGGCCTGAGGAAGTGGCAGTACGACGTCTGGTCAAACGATGTGACTCTGGCAAACGTGATGGAGGCCGGAGGACTGCCTGGGTCGGTACCGCTGGTTAGGAACCGAACTCAGCTGCTGAGTCAGCAGAACAACCGCTCTTTAGATGTGGAAACATACCTATTATACATATTAATCGTCATAAATAGATCTCTAAAACACTTTTGTTCAGTTTCAAACTGTCAACCTGCAGCATTCAGAAAACCTTCTGCTTGAAATCGTATCACAAATATTACAGCCCAGAACTTTTGCAGATGAAATTCAACATTATCGAAGAAAAAGTTGAAGTCGTGAGTGTTTAAAATCTTCCTTTGAACAATGAAACATTTTAGAGCAGCTGGTCCCACATCCTAAACAAGCTGGTAGAAGAAGAGCTGATGCAACACGGTTGTAAAAACGAGTTTGATATTTCAACCTGGCAGGTGGACTGGAGAAGAGCTTTTATCACACAGCGTGACGCCATTCTTATCTCCTCGTGTGCTCTGTTCTTTGTTAGCGTCCTTTTAAACTTGATGAATGAAAACAGCAAATATGAAACAAGTACTTGTTTTTACAAACAGCTCAAAAAAGCATTTTGTTTTTGCAATAAATAAAGAGCAATACGTAAGAATTTTACAGCTAATTACAAAACAGTCGAATGTCTCGATCATGTCGGAAGGATGGTTATACGGAAACGTTTCACTCTCAGCCAGCTGGGGGGTTGCCAGTTTTGCTCCTTTACAAGTAAGAGGGAGGTAGTTACTGTTTTCAATCTTTGAGTTTGTTAGGTTGCCAAGTCTGCGGCGAGCTAACGCAGCACTGCTGGAAAATGTAACCCAACACCAGCAGGGAATCAGCTCCAGAGATTGTTAAAGAAACAAAGCCAGTAAACAGGAGTGACCCAGAAGTTATTTCTTCTACCCCTAAGAAGCCACGGCATCTTTTTGTTTCACACTAATATCAGGTGAAGTAGCCTAGAGGCTAACGTTGAGCTAACAGTGATAACAGTGAATTAGAAGCAAGTTGCTCTAAAAATTTCTCAAGCCTTTTCAAACAACTTGATATTACAAAGAAATGTGTGTGGGAAGTGAATGATGAGTCAGCTGTGGTGTTTCACTTCCTTTAATGAGTCGTTCAGAACAACAATAGCAAGCAAACAGCAAGACAGCAAACTACCAAGGGCGTGTCCAGGGAGTGTTCTGGGGTAGCACATGCCACCCTTGGAATCTGATTGGCCACCCCAGGTACCACCACACTAATTTACCTTTAAATAGTCTTTTCATTGTCCACAAACAGCTTGGGGGTAAAACAAAAAAAAAGCATAACCATTGGTGCCACCCATGCACAAAGTTGTGCCTCACCTGGGCCACCCCATTTTAAAAGATCTGGACACGCCACTGCCAACTACCACATTTCCTCTAATATCAGAGTAATTTCACAGTAATAAGTGTAGTAAGTGCTCCCTACTGTAAAACACCTGAGTGCCAACACCAGATCTAACCATGTATTTGTCTACTTATCCACTTACTGAGTACGACCCATGTTTGCTTGTCATCCAGAATCTTCTGGTGCTGATCTGTAACTGGCAACGTCCACGAAACTCACGCAGCGAGAGTGAGAAAGTGATTGAAGGAACCAAATTTGACCCCAGGATGTCATTCTGTTGCCTGGCCTGCCAGACTCGTCCTCTGTTTAAATCTACACAGAGAACTAGTCTGGTTGCTCACAGGCAGAGAGGCACACGAGGGGCGGGACTAGCCAGCTTAAAAATAACCAATCAGAAAAAAGGCGGAAATGCCGACTGTACTGCGCAACACAGTGGTTTTTTAGCTGTAGTCAAAGATGGCGTCTGGCGACGGAGCAAACATCTTTCTTTGGAATAAAAGCTTTTAGCGGTTGTTCTTGTGGTTTGAAAGACACAAAGTCATTTAGAACCGCAGCAAACTCCGCTTCAGATGCCGTCTTTGCTGTTTATGAGAAGCTGAGCGTCGCGTGTGTGACGCACGCTGCTCAGCACTGATTGGCTTGGTAAAAATTCTCAGGGGCTGGGGTTATTTGAATGGCAGCATTAATGGGAGCAGGCCCTTTGCTTCCCCTGAGGAAGCATTGGCATGGCCTGCCAGGCTAGGAGATAAGTGTAGGAGACTATTTTCATGTTTAGCCTGCTTGATAAACTGAGAGAGACCCATTAGAATCAGAAATAGTTTAAAAAAATGTCTTTCAGTGAACCACATCTTTAACACTTCCTCAGTAATTTTATTTATTTGCAGTTTTGCTTTTTTTAAAACATAAGTTAAAATGAGGAAGAGCATGGGCATTAATTTAATCTCACTTCACTTAAAGAGAATGTGTGCAATAACAAGCAGATCTGCATTTAAAACAGTGAAATGGGGTCATCTCTTTGGGGCCGATTCAAGTAAAGTAATACGAATTTAGCTCTCCGCTGCAGATTAAACGAGTCGTCAGAACGAACGCGTCTGAAGCAAACTGAGGGAGTTTTAGTCTGATAAAAATAATGAGGAAGGTAATGATTTAAGACCTCGGCAGCTCACTCCCAACCGCTCTTCATCCTCTGCTGCGCTTTCAGCAAGGTGCACATCACGAGGACAACCCTGGAGTGTCTGAACGGAGACTACGAGGTGGAACCGGGCCTCGGGCATGAGAGGCACGCCTTCCTTCAGAAGCATCACATCGAGACCTTCTTCATCGTTCCATCACACAGAAGAAAAGTATGAACCACTTTTTTTTTTCCTCACTGCTGCAAGTGCTCAGTGATAAATAATCCTCTGATGCTGAGGAAGCAGGCCGGGGGATTAGCTAGGGTGGATGGTAAAACTATACGCATTGGTGTGTGTGAGTGCGTGCGCGCGTTAGGGGTTGCATGACTTAATTTTTTTTAAGTCGACAGTCAAGTAATGAAAATCAAGTCGACTTTGACTAGTCGTTGATGATGTCATACTCCTGTAGCGGGGGTGGGGAGGGGGGGTTGTTGGTTCACTGGAGTTTTTGACAATTAAAATTGGCCCACATTTTCAAAGTTAAACATATTTCTTTTAACAACGGTAGTTTCTGCATCTTTACTGCTCCGCTTCAGCCCTCTCCCCCCTCCCCCTGCTTCAGCCCTCTCCCCCCTCCCCCCGCTTCAGCCCTCTCCCCCTCCCCCTGCGCAGCGGCCGCAAACTCACTGATGCGCCTGCAGCCTCTCAGAGTTCCTGCTGCTCTAAACATTAAAATAATTATTTCATTTTGTGTTCCTCACTTCTGATTACCTTCAATGGTGTCTGTTTGTTGCAACCAAAGAGAAACTGCTACCTGGCTTCATATATATTCACCTTATGAGTTACCTCTGAACTGCAGTTCTAAAAGATCTGCCGACCGCAAAAACAACGGAGTGCTCGCCGGCCGCATCGGTGAGGTGCGTCACCGGAGGACAAAACAGGTGATGCGCCCCGCTACACAGCAGCGAAACGCATCAGGCACAAATAAAAGACAGAAAACATGAAAGGAAATGAGCCGACATGAACGATCGCGTGTTAAATTTGTTTTTGAGGTGGCGACACCTGATTTGATAATGTTACTGCGGCCGTGCTCAGGACACAGATGTCTGGAGCGTGTCAACGATCAGAGCTTTGCATGCACAAGCTGGTTAAGGTTGGGATGGGGGTGAGGGGAAGGTTCAGTTACAAGAGGGTAAAGGTCACAATTTGGTTAAATGTCCGTTTTGAGGCGGGTGTCAGATACCGGCGCTCTGGCGTCACCTGCTGTCTTTTCCGAGTACTGCATCTTGTCGGTCATTATCACGTGACAGCGACTAGTCTATGAAAGGCTTACAAAGTCACTACAGAGCTGTGAAGTCGACTAGTCGATACAACCCCTATCGTGTGTGCGTGCGTGCGTGCGTGTGTGTGTGTGTGTGTGTGTGTGTGTGTGTGTGTGTGTGTGTGTGTGTGTGTGTGTGTGTGTCTGCTCTGTCTTCTCCATCCCCAGTGAGTCGTGGAGGATGGCTGCTTATACTGAGCCAGGATCCTCTGGAGGTTTCTTCTTGTTAAAAGGAAGTTTTCCTCTCCACTGTCGCTGCATTCTTGCTTAGTATGTGGATTGCTGTAAAGACCTGACACTAGTCAGTGACTCGATGCGACCTGCTGGGTTGTATTGGAATGTTTACTGTGCGAAGTGCCTTGAGACGAGTCTTGTTATAAGTTATAAATAAACTGAACTGAATCAAACTAGTTTTGTTTAGCCGAGTTAAAGAACCCAGATCTATCAGCCTCCCACTGGACTGGGACTTGTTGGAGACATGAAAATGTAAGAGAATATGCAAACGTCCTTTTTGAAGGATGCAAAGTGGTCACATGACACCAAATCTGTCGAAGCAGTTTATTCCCAAAGTGGTTTAATAGTGTTTTAGTTTCTTTGCCACTTATCCTCACTGTACTGATGAGGTCATTGGTGCTTCAAGTGTTAGATTTTGCATCTCAAGCAAGAAAAAAATCTCTTGAGTTTTAATACAAAGACTTCATAACAGCAACAAAAAACTGGTGAAAATCTCAAAACAGCCGAGTAACGATGATCAGTTCTTCCTTATTTGATGTTTTAGGCATTTAGCTCTCAAACGCTGTTTGATACACAAACAAAAAACTTCATACAGAAAAGGTTCGACTCTATAAACATTCTGTTTAATTTACAGTAACAGATACTGACTGATAAAGGTTTTCCTTTTTGAACCATGAATCTTCAGTTGTTATAAATGCATTTAGATTCATGGAGATTGAATAGAAGTCAAATAAAATCAGGAAAATTCTGACACAGATGTAGGAATCTGTCCTAAACTCACCACGCAACGCTGGACTTTGTGTTTTAATGAGGCTCGTTATTAAACCAACGTCTGGTCTGGTGAATAATGAACCTGATCAGCAAAGGACAGGAATTCATTCATGGAAATAAAAGAGTTTGTTTTACTGATGTGCTGCAAAATCTGGATGTGTTTGTGCGTCTTTCTGAGAAATTTAAATGCAATGTGCACACACACACACACACACACACACACACACACACACACACACACACACACACACACACACACACACACACACACACACACCTCTGTGTGGTCCTGTGCATCTGATGTTTCTGGTTTTTACTTTCAGATCTTTCCTGGAATCATCCTGTCAGACATCAAACCAGCCAAGAGGATGAAGTTTAAAACGGTGTGCTACCTGCTGGTGCAGCTCATGCACTGCAGGAAGATGTTTAAAGCAGAAATCCCTTTTTCTAACGTCATGACCTGCGAGGATGACGACAAGGTGAGCGAAGAGAGAATTTAACAAGTTGTGTGTTTTATTTCACTTCATTTGTGACAAACAGAAATCCTTCTGATAATCTGCACACAGTCACAAATGATGAGCTCACTCACTCACTCACTCACTCACTCACTCGCTCGCTCGCTCACTCACCCGCTCACTCACTCACTCACTCACTCACTCACTCACTCACTCATTCACTCGCTCGCTCACTCACCCGCTCACTCACTCACTCACTCACTCACTCACTCACCCACCCACTCACTCACTCACTCACTCACTCACTCACCCACTCAGTCACTCACTCACTCACTCACCCACTCACTCACTCACTCACTCACTCACCCACTCACTCACTCACTCACCCACTCAGTCACTCACTCACTCACTCACCCACTCACTCACTCACTCATTCACTCACCCACCCACCCGCTCACTCACCCACTCACTCACTCACTCACTCCCTCGCTCGCTCGCTCGCTTGCTCACTCACTCACTCACTCACTCACCCACTCACTCACTCACTCACTCACTCACCCACCCACCCGCTCACTCACCCACTCGCTCACTCACCCACTCACTCACTCACTCACTCAATCACTCACCCACTCGCTCACTCACTCACCCACTCACTCACTCGCTCGCTCACTCACTCACTCACTCACTCACTCACTCACTCACCCACTCACTCACTCACTCACTCACTCACCCACTCACTCACTCACTCACTCACCCACCCACCCGCTCACTCACCCACTCGCTCACTCACTCACTCACTCACTCACTCACTCACCCACTCACTCACTCACTCACTCACCCACTCACTCACTCACCCACTCACTCACTCACTCACCCACTCACTCACCCACTCACTCACTCACTCACTCACCCACCCACCCGCTCACTCACCCACTCGCTCACTCACCCAC